CCCACCCACTCACCCACCCACACACACACACACACACACACACACACACACACACACACAGAGTCACAGGCTTAGAAATCAGAGTGCACAATGACTATGTGGGGTTGTACTCCATTTATTTATATCAGTCTCAAAAAGCACGTGGTGAAGAATGAAACCAGGCTGGGCGTGGTGGTGCATACTGTCACCTCCGCACTTGGGAGGCTGAGGCACTTGGGATGCTGAGACAAGAGGGTTGCTGTGGGTCTGAGGCCAGCCCAGACGGCATGATGAGTTCGAGGTGAGCTTGGACTACACAGTGAGTTCCTGTCTCAAGGAAGAAACCAACCTGGAGAACCCTAAGCCCAAACAATGACATAGAACCAGCAACACTGAAACCAGATTTTCACACAGCATATGCGCACATCTCCAGGAAACTGGCCTGCAAAGAAAGTACACTCAGTTGATTTTTATCCTACTTTACTGAGTCTGAATGTTTAAAACTGTTAGCACCACGGCCACAGAAAACTTTCCCAAGCTGGAAATCCACCTTCCACCCAGACTGTGATGCCTGGGACCGGCCCCATTGTAAATGCTCCTTCTGGCTGGGCGTGGTGGCGCACGTCTGCCTATAGTCCCAGCACTCGGGAGGCTGAGGCAGCCTGGACTACATACTGAGTTCCAGGTCAATCTCAACTACATAGTGAGACCCTGTCACTCACACACACACACACACACACACACACAAAGCTCCTTCTTGTTGGCTGACAGCATTTATTGATGTTTCCCTCCATGGATTCTAGTTCCCAACATCAGGCACCTGTCCATCTTTGTGATACTGGGGACTGAACCCAGGTCTCCATGCTTTCTTTTCCAATAAGCAACATTCCCAGTATTTTTAAATTTAATTTGAGACAGGATATCACTAAGTTGCCCATAATGGCCTCAAACCTGGGATCCTCCTACCTCAGCCTCCTGAGTAGTGGAGACCAGTACCATTGCACCTAGACATACTTTTTTTGGTGCCGGAGATTGAACCAGGGCCTCGCCTATGCTGACCACATGTTCTAGCTCTCTTGTCTACACCCCCAGCAAGGCCTGTACTTTTCTTTACACCCCTCCTAAGGCGTCTGACATAGAATGTGGCCACTGTTAAGTACTTAAAACTTGCTGAGGGTTGGACGTCTTAATCTGTGTGCTGACAACACAAGGGGCAGCCAGGAGAAGGATGTTATTTCATGAAGGAGCAGGCTATACCACAGCCAAGAAAATAAACATTAGAAATTCCACAGAGTTACCAAGGTGAAATCATTATCAGGTTCTCTTGGAACTGGACGCTGTCTCTGCCTGTGTCCACAAAGAGTCATCACTTCTTCCAATGCGTGCCAGACCTGTCCTGTCCAACCCACAGGCCACCAGTTATGTTTGGCTATTTACATTTAAGTTAAAATTTAAAAACGTGGCCCCTCAGTCACACCAGCTGTGCTGCAAATGCTCAAAAGCCACCGTGGATGCTCTGAACAGCCCAGACAGCCCATTTCCATCAACCCAAGGAGTTCTGTTGGACAACACTGTTTTGTACACAATGGTCTTTTTGGGGGGCGGGTATGGGTGATCAAACTCAGGGCCTTATGCTTGTGAGGCAGGCGTGGTGCCACTGAGCTAAACCCTCAGCCCCACAGTGGTCTTCCGAAATCAGAATTGTGCATATCTTCCTTTTATTTAACACCCAGAATAGTATCCCACAATTTTTAGGACAAAACCCCTCAATCCTCACAGGAGCCACAGGCCCTGGGCTGCCTGGCCTTTCCCCACCTTTTTGGCTTTGTTCTACACTATTCTCCACTTGCCTTCTGAGCCTCCACCAGCCACACTTGCTAGGCCGCGGGGCCCTCACACACTGTCCCGCTTTCCCAGCCAACTCCTACTCTTCCACGGGAGTCCAGCTCAAGTGTCCCCGGGAAAGCTTTCCGGTTTCCACCATCCTTAGAGGACTGTGCTTTCCTTCGGAGACTTCACCCTCTTGGATGTGATCATTTAACATCGTCTCCCCAACTGGGCTATCCCTACTTGAAAACAAGGGCTGTGAATGTTTCACTCTTCTCTGTCCCTCACACGTGGCTTGGCACCTGACCAGCGAGATCGACAAACATGTGAAGGAAACGAACGACAGCAATACTGTTCCACAGGACTTTGAAAACTGCTCGCTTTCCGGTTCAAAACGTTTCTCTCCTAGCAGGGTTAGGTCCTGTTTGCAGTATCATACATGACCATCAAACTGCTGCTAGAATGTTCACACCTGTTACTGCAAATTCAAAACCCAGGGCACAGTCCCCGGGGATTTACTCTAGGTCAGGGTGAGGCTGCCTGGTACAGGAGGCTGCGCCCGGCACAGCCACACAGGAGCCTTTCCCCGGACCGTCCCTGCACCCGGGGCGCCCGCTCCGCGCCGGACATACCTGGGCCACCTGGAAATCTCAGCAGGGGAATCCATCCATCACCCAGTCGCCGTGGAGTGGCCGTTTCTTATTTTCTGCGGGAACCCTGGGGAGAAAAGCAATAACGCGCTTTACGAAGGCCGTTTCATTCACTGCTTACCCAGTCGAGAAAGCCCGCGCGGAGCCGGGCCGCGCCCCTCACAATCCCTCGGCCCGACGCCCTCCGTTTCTTCCGCCCAACCCCAGTAGCCAAGGGAGCAGCCCCGA